GACAGACAGACAGACAGACAGACAGACAGACAGACAGACAGACAGATCATATCATAGTTGTGTGTAAATATGTGAACAACAAAGTGAGTGCGTCACAAACTGTTTCGCCGTCCTGTTCAAACACGTGCAACAATTCCACCAGAAACGGAGACTGCGATTATAAAAGCAAACTCGCCTTTAAAAAAAAAAAGAAAGAAAGAAAAAATATTTAAAAAACAGGGGAGAAGAGAAAACATTGAGATGTCAAACGATCAAGAGGACACGAACAAAGATTTTTTTATTTTGAAAGAAAATGATATTGATAATATAAAAAGGTCATCGGACGACAATCAATGCGCGCCCGGTCGGTCGGTGTCCCCATAGCTTCCAGGCTCCATCCATCCTGCCAATACTTTGTGTGTGTATGATTGTGTGGACTCAATCAATATGCCCAGAGCGATACCGTCAGCATTTTATAATACGTTCTGAAACTAGCGCAAGAGCCCGCCACGGCGAAGCAAACGTTCACACGTTCCAGCTTTTAATGGTTTTTATTTTATTTATTCTTATTTCAATATTCTATTGGCTTTATGTTCTCTTTTATATCTTGTTGAAAGAGAGTCGTTGGAGGGTGCTCCAGTGTGGTTTCCTCCTTCTTTCCTATCGAACGTCTATTGTCCTGATCTCTCCTCCTCCTTTATTTTTGTGTTTGTTACTCTCTTTTAAGACATCGAACTGTCAATACTTATATGACCTCACAGTGTTGCAAATGCGGTAGAGCTCTTTAAAAACTCTTTTATAAACTGCTGAAAGGGATCTTTTTAAGGGGAGGCGCGGGGGTGTCCTTGACAGAAAAACTACTTCAAAGGCAGTAGTATATGCCCAGTGAAAGGAGTGAGGAAGGAAATGAAAATGAGACGACACTTAAAAAAATAAAAAAATTTTAAAAAGACTACAATCTGATCAAAGTTGTTCTTTTTTGGATCACAAGAGTTTCTTTTTTACGACTATATTGTTTCTGCCCCATCTACAATTTGGATCATTCAGGAGGCGAACTGGAACTGATGCATTATTTGTTCACAAATACATACTCGTCATGACGATGATCTTTAACTTTTTCTGGTACATGATGCATGCATTACGGTGAGACTGAAACAATAGCAAGTGAGAATGAGAGTGTGGAAGGGGAGGGAGAGAGAGAGAGAGAGAGAGGGAGAGAGAGACAAACAGAGAGAGAGAGAGAGAGAGAGAGAGAGAGAGAGAGGCAGAGAGAGAGAGAGACAGAGAGACAGAGACACACACACACAACAGAAAGAGAGAG